ACCAGTGTATCCCAATAAATTCAGTAAAAAGGGAAGAAAATGTGACTGGTTCAAACCTACAATTAAAGAACAAAGGGTTTGAAAATTTATAAAGGTTGAAATATAATAAAATGACCTAAATATAGGCTATGTATAAGAAAATTATTTCAAATATGGTGATATTAAAAAAAGAAACACTTCTTGAATGGAAAGGACTTCAAAATTGTGCTCCTTTGTAAAAGCAACAAGAACAATGGCAAAAGAAAGTCAAAATAAATTTTTTTAGATCTTTGTAAAATAACAAAAGATTTACAACAGTCTGGAGAATGTTTATTCAAGAAAAATTTCTGAATTTTAATAAGAACATCAAGTTTTTTTTTACTTGCTTTAATTTCATATTTATTTCTTTAGCTTTGCAACTATAGTAGTTGTGAAAAACAACCTGCAGCCACTGCAGAAGGTATAATGGGTTTGGATCTATCCCAAAATTTGTCCTTAGGGAATTGTCACTGTTTGGCTTGGCTGGCAGCTGACTGAAAAGCCCCATTCTCAGAACTTGTCTTTATTTGACTGATTTAGAGCTTAGTCTTTGTGAAAAGCCCTTTCTGCATGGCATTTGATGTAAGCAATGAGCAGCAAGTACTTAACATCATGACCACCTGAGGCAACATTACTAGTTGGAGACTAACACATGGCTGACCTAAAACCTTAGGTAAAGCAGGGCAATGAGATGTCTGTAGGGTATTTGAAAATCTTTGACATAGATTTTTGGGAATCCAAAGTCATGAGACTCTGCACAGCTATCCCATGTCAAAGAAAGATGTAAAGGGATGTAATTTTTCCTCTTGTTGATCTTGAGGAAGCTAGCAGGAAGTGAAGGCTAAGGCTGAGCTATAAAGTCCTGTCAGAGCAGGGAAAATGCACACGGTCAGTCCAGAAAGTATCCAGCCAGGTAATATGAAAAATGGAGGCACTATTGAAGAAGATACATGGGACATTGTACATAGGACAGTGATGCCTCAGTTCTCTTCAACTGAGTAGAATATATTACTCCTAGTAGGCACCCATGATTCGTCTCCAGTTATGGCCTTCTTGAGGAAATCTGGTTCCTTGGTAGCAGTTTGAATCAAGTCATTAGCAACTGCAGCATGATGTTCCTTCTGCTCTGGTAGCAGAGACCACAGAACGAATTTTGCCATGACTTATTTCCTACCAAGATCCTGTGTCAAAAATCGTGGACACCATAGTTTTTAGAATCCCCAGATCAGCTTCTAGTTCTTGCACTGTGAATCGCTGATCTTTGTCGATAGCAGCCTGTACATGTTTGACATTCTCAGGTGTTCTGCCTGTTGTAGTCCTTCCAGACATGGGTCATTTTCAACAGATTTTCAACCATCTTTGAAGCATTTGTGTCACACTTTTATTTGTGCTGCACTCATTCATTCATCCCGGAAAGCCTTCCGAATCATCTCAATAGTTTTCACAGAGGAATGTTCAAGCCTAATGCAAAATTTGATGCAGATGCATTGCTCTTCTTGCTCAGTCATTTTGAATGCGACAGCCACACAGTAAATGTGCTCACTCAATGGCAACTCTCAACCCCACTGCCTAGTACAGAGAAGTCATCATTGTTCATGCACGCACATTCCAGTCCACTCCTCTTGGCTGCCAGGTTACATCGATGTCACGCAAACTATTCTTGTTATATTAACAATGGCTGGACTTTTTCTAGACTGACCTCATTCTTATCACATGTCTCAGCAGTTCAACTCAGAGTATTGAAAATGTGTGTTCATATAAAAACCTGGACAGTTGTGTTTATAGGTGCTCTTGTCATACTTACCAAACACTGGACGTGACCTAAATGTACCTCAGTGAGTGAATAAACTATGATACCTTCATAGAATAGAATACTAATCAGTTAGGAAACAATGAATTGCATATACACACACAACTTGGGTGAAACATAAAGACCTTATACCACATAATTAAAAAGACAGATCTATAGAAATAAACAATAGATCAGTGGTTGCCAGGAATTATTGGTGGGAAGAGGAGTGGGTATAGAAGGATTGCACAAGCATGTTTTTTGGAATGATAGAACTAGTCTGTGTCCTAATTATGGTAGTAGTTACATGAATCTGTACATGAATGTGAACATTCATAGAACTCTATACCAAAAGGGAAAAATAGCCATTTCACTGTATGATAATTTCAAATTAAAATAATTCTATGCCTGGTATCAGATGGGGACTAGACTGTCATGGTGATTACTTCATAAGGTATATAAATGTCTAATCACTATTTTGTACAAGTGAGACTAATATAATATTGCATGTTAACTGTAATTGAAAATTATTTTATAGCTATAAAATAAAAAATAAAATAAAATAGCATTACACAGGATTATGTGCGAGGACAGAAGCACAAATCAATCAATAGGAGAAATCGGGGGAAACACTATTGTTACCTAAATTATATCTTGGGAAGAAATTACATGAATAGTGTCATTGAGAATAGAGAAACTAGATGACTGAGGCCCCAGATAGGCTTCTTTGGCTTGAATTATCCATGTTCTCCCTCATATAAAATGAGCAATTGCTAAATAAATACCGACTTTGGTTATTGCATTATTGACATAAGCAAAAGCAGACCCAAGTGTATTCAAGAAACTATCTCTATATAAAACCTAGGTTTTACAAATGTATTTTTTTCTAAGTGAAGTATTCCACAAGTGGGGGCTTCTGTATTTTATAATTTTTTACAATCAGGTGAACATAGGTACTCTCCTTGAAGCTATAAAAAAAATATGTTGAAAACCTCTTGGAATATAAGGGAAAGATCTGGGTGTAGTTATAAAGAACTTAATAGATACCACCGTAAATGTTTTCACTGAGTAGGCTGAAACCGTGTTTTTCAGTATATACTTTTGGATATCATAGTTAGCAAGGAGTTAGCTAGGAGATAGCATAGTTCGCTAAGTTAATGACAGATTCAGTACTTGGAGCAGTACTAGATGTACAATAATTTTTATAACCATCTACTTATAAACACAGTTTCAAATGTTCATATCAAATTTAATATATATCTAGACTATCATTCTCTAAGATATTACAGGATTTCAACCAAAATAGAACACATATTTTTAACCAATGGTTATATGGCCTGTGAGGTAGACTGATAAATCCTCACTTTAACATTGACTCTTTGAAGTATATTGGAATTTGTTTTCTGACAGACACATCATCCAGAATATTGCATATGTGTGTGAGAAGAGTATGGGTTAAGTTAATCTTTTTTAGTTTATTTTTTCCCTGTTGCACCCAGAGATTATTATAGGGTATATATGAGATAAAACAAGTAGGGCTTCTTGGCTTCATATCTGTAATCTTTCAGTTTCATTGTAGATTATCATTAGAAACTTGCTTTGGAACCCTGAGTGTCAGAGACATTTGATATACTACCATTTTCATTGTTCTGAACTGTTTTGTATCTCAGCAAGAATAATCATGTGAATAGTCTGACCACTGAGATGTGAAATCAGAGTGAATATTTATCAAGGTTTTTCCAATGAAATTAAATGTTACTAATTTAAAATGGGTCAGAGTAATATTTTTCTGTATTTTGTTCATTCCATAATTTAAATTTAGATAATTTGATATACATTTTTACAATTGGCTTATTTTTGAATTATTAGACCTGCATTATCAAATAACATTTATTAAGTTTTGCACGTGCATCGATCCAGAATGATTGCTATACCACAGTGGTTAAGAACGTAGCCTATACTCTTTAAAATAAAAAAATCTCCAGACAAACAATTTTATGTGTCTAATGAACACAACTATAGCATATTTTCATGACTCCCATCCAATTAACTCACTTCTCTGCCATTTCTAATTTTAAAATTTTATAGGAATTTTAAACATAAATTTGAATCATTAGCAGACACATTAAGAAATACATCATACATTGAATTTTCATGATTTATTTTAGTTTAGATCAACAGCTTTCAAATTTATTTCAGTGTGTGGAAGATGTGGAAATGAAAGAAAATAAAGGAGTAAGTTTTGGAAAGGAACTGATCGCTGAAAGGAAAGAGAGTAAGATGGAAACCAAGGCCTCATAACAGAATATAAAATTGTTGTTCAAATGTTAACTCCCACTCAGAATGACATATTATACTGTTATGTTTGAGACTCCTTTGACCCAGTTCCTAGTTGAGGGTGAGGTTAACAAATATTCTAGTCAGTGCTTTTGTTGTTGTTAAATCTGTTTTCTTCACCAGCTGCAATAGCTCTTTTATTACTCAGTGGAGTCATGAGATGGTACAAAAAAAAGAAATTTGGTGACACTAAGTCATTTTTGTTCATTTTTTGCTGTGAAATGTAATAGGGAAGATTGAAACTAATATCTGAATGTAGCTATCCTGTATCTTTTACCTAGCCATGTTTATTCTGTCTTCTATTAATAACAAAAATACATCTTTTCTCTAATGAATTCAATGAGTAAAAGTTAATTATTTACAGATTTTTTTTTTTTTAGTTTCTTATGTGGAAAATTTGAGAATAGTTCACAAATTAATTATTTAAATAATATATCAATAATAAAATAAATTTATAATGAGCTGTTATTCTTAAATTAGGAAGACAAAGTTAACTTTACCTATTAATGGGATCTTATGTATACTCACTTATTTATGTGTTTGTTTCCAAATGCTTCCCCAGGTTTACTCTCTGTAATTTACACGTATTATTCTCTAAAGGAAGTAGAGTTTTTTTTTTTTTGATAATCACTGCACAGCAAATCTAAGATACCTGTCAAATCTTTTTCCTGAAAGAGTAAAGGAGAAGGAAAAGTTGACCTTAGGGAGACAAGTTTATGGTTTCCATATCTGGGAACTACTTTGCAACTTTGTGTCCCGGTTTTACTCTACTTAAACATTCTTTGACATTTCAGATGGCTGTTAAACATGAAGTATAGGTAAGCATAACTCATTGTCTGAAATTATTTTTTTCTAGGTAAACAGGATTATAAAAAAACCAAACCTATTTTACGGGCAACCAAATTAAAAGCAGAAGCAAAGAAGACAGCAATAGGAATAAAGGTACTTGATAATTTTAAAATTTGATATATCCATGTCATTTTATTTTCTAAAACTGGATTGCATAAATGTTGAATTCTAAATGTTTTATGAGATTTTAAAATCTGAATCGAATGCCAGAATCAAAGATTTTTATAAAGAATTGATTTAATGGGAAACATCCTTCCTATATTGAGATTTTACCAAGTCTTAAAATAAAACACCGTGTTACCTGCAAGAACCAGGTATACTTAAATTGCATTTTATTTTTTTCTCTAGCTGCTGTATTCACTGATTTATGTGGCCTGAATCAAAAACTCTCATTTTCAATAAATTTCATTGACAGTTGTTTAAATTTTAGATGTTATTATATATACTTAGATTATTAATATATGTAAATTTACTCTTTGAATTATTATTGTTGTCATTCTCTCCATGATAGAATTCTAACGACGTTCCCATACTTCTTTTCTTAGAAAAGCAGTGTTTTAACTACTTAAGAGGGATATATGCAGCTGAGAATGTTAGCAGATATTAATCCAATGTGTTAGTACAATGAAATTCAACAAAATTACATTTCCATTATTATCCATGTCAATTCTTTGCCAACTATTTAGAGTCAAATTAAACTATAAATAGAAAAATTAATTTGGTGGCTCTATTGTCAAGTGTGTAAAATTACAATGACTAATACTTATATTTTATTTAAATATTAGAATGTTAAAAGGAGATTTTGGTTTTTATCTGACAGATGAGAAAAATCAATTTTTCTAAGTTATAGCTGATAGCAAATGCCAAGGTATTACTACCAAGCTGTAACAGCTGTTGAACTGCCAGATGATGTATTTGGTTGTCTTCCAGAATTTGCTATTATGATTATGAAACACTGCCTTCTTTTTACTCCTGATTGCTGATTTTGATCAAGCATTGCTGTGTGATGCAGTATGTTTTTACAATACAATCTCCTCAGTTAGTGCTGTCAGTTTTTAAAGAAAAAAAAAGAGTGAATTGCCTTTTTGTTTAAAAGAGAGATGATTAATCTTTTGAAGTTTTCTTCTAATTTCACATGTAATTTCATTCATCTTTAAAATTATTTCCATGACATGACCTTTCTAAAAACATTGCTTAGTTTTTTTACTCTACAATTAGTTACCTGATTATTGCTTTTTGTAATGAGAGCATTTGTTTGTTATCTTTCACCAAGGGAATGTGGCATGTACTTTTATCTTTCACAATGTGGTGTTTTTGTTTAGGGTTTTTTTGTTTGTTTGTTTGTTTTGTTTTTTTTAAGAAAAATATTAGGGTAGCAAACTCCACTTGTGACATAATGTAGTGAACAGCTGTCAAGTAGAATTTGAAAAATAGTGCAGTCATTTATCTATAAATATATACCACTTTCTCACACATACCTTCTTTTTTTATATGGTCTTACAATTTTTGTTGTTGTTTTAATTTAAGGAAATAATTGTGTTCCCAGTATGTCTGCCTTATAGTGCGATTGTTTGTCCTTTTAAAAACAATGTGGAGTTTATCTTTTTATGAGAAATTTTTGTTAGATTTCATTTACAATTTGAAGTACGTACAGAAGAGTTTCTGGTCAGAACATAACTTTTTAAAAAAATAAACTGGCATATTTTGATTTATGAACCTATGGGAAAAAAGCCTTAACTTTAAACATTGTTTATTTTGCTTGAAATTTATGTAAAGAGCTCTTTAAAATAATAGGAAACTTTTAAAAATCAGAACCATGGGATGTTTTACATTTCAAATCTGGCATACTAATTAGTTTTCCCTGTCAAATTTTGATTGCGTTGTCATTTAGCATAGGATTTTAAATAACAAAATTTCTTTTAGCCATTGCTATTTAATGCTATTTAATTTCCCCAGTGAGTGATTTTATCCATATTGATAATGTCAGAGAAGCAACTGGGGACTAATGAACATCAAACATGTTTGACTCTTATCTAGTTGACATGGGATGGCCATAATATTATAATATTTTATTACTTCACTACTTATTCTTTAAAATGAATCATAGTTATGCTCTTAAAATAATTTAAATATTCAGAAAATATGAATAGCTGCATGGAAAAGTCACCGCAGTGACAACAACTGAACACAAAATAAAGAAGCCGAGGATCAAATCTGTCTTGTCTCTTACTCTTGCCATGACCTGGCTGGGTTCAAGCTGGCACATTTGTAAAAGGGAGACTATGCCATTTACTTCACAGTGTTGTCAGGAGAGTTAAGTAATAAAATGAAAACACTTGACATCGAACCTAGCACATAGAAACCATTTATGAATTGCTAGCAGGTTGAGAAAGTATTTCTTGGAATTATTTATTATTGGTTTGTATAAATAAGGCTTTCCTTGGATGTTTGTCATTGGCCTGAAGATCCCCTACCTCAGCTAAGTCTGCAGTGTGTAGCTATGTTATGTAGTACAGAATGTTCTCAGTTTTGCTGTGGAGATAGCGTTTTGTAATAGTATTATTACTGTTGTGAAGTTTTCAAAGCATCACATAATTTAATATACTTTGTATGTAAATCTTACTCAAGCCTTTGTTACTAATTTAGAAATTAAAAAGGTTGTCTGAAAAGACAAGAAGTTGAGAATCACCAGTTAGAGGTGATTATCAATGAGATGAGAACGATGGCCTCCAATCAAGAGTAAAAACATTCTTCTTGCATTAAACATGTGTGAATGGTCATCACTGCTGTTGAACAGTTTTGTTGTCACTATACAGGACAGATGGATTTTGCAGTTGTGTATCACTTGTTTATTACATCCTCTTAAAATTGGTTGCTGTGTAACCAGATGGGTCTGGGAGCACAGCTGTGGATATAAGAAAATAAATGAAACCTGTTTGATGCTTCCGTGCCCTTCTGAGATGCCAAAGTGTTACAAACTTCAGCAAAGAAAAATTCACTTTCATTTGTCATAATATTGATATATTAGGTTGAAAAATTAAATCTTAAAAAAATAGTTGACACTGAGTCTTCCAAACCCCTAGCTTTTATTAATATTTACTTTTATAGTTTGGAAATCTAAATAATGTAATTATGAGCTAAAAATCTGTGTAAGGTGTCCATTTGTAATTTAAACTTTCAGGTACAAATTTCATGTTTATTATAAACCATATTCATTTTAATGTTCTTAATGTTCAGTTGGCATATGCTGAATTATTGATACTGCATTCTTATGATATGTAAAATACATTCATGTAAATGCAAATAAATTACTTTTTCATAAAATAATGCCAGGAAGGGGTGTGATAAATGAATGAAAATTGGAAGGAAGTGTTCGGCCCTTTAGGAAACTGAACTAGCACTATTTGCTCTTTTTTCTATTTAGCCAAATGAGATGTTAATATTGAGGAAATTCCCTGATAGTGTGTATGCATTTTAAAATATTATAGACTTTTTGAGACATAATATGAATTTCATCATTGTATATGTAGTAAATATTTTGGCTGTTAGTTCAGCGTAGTTGATTAATATAATCGACATTAAATCACCAAAGGAAATAGCTGGGACCGTCCTTCACAGCTGTGATAAATTACACTGTATCATGCTTCATGAGCTAAGTGCTCGGTTTTGTCCAACCACATTATAAACTATAAAATTTAGAATATAAAAATTAGAAGTTTAACATAATATTTAATAAAGATGTTTAAAAAGGCATAATCTAGAAACTAGTTATAATAGTTTCTTCCCATTAGGAAAGAAATGGTAATTAAAAAACAACAGAAACTGTGTCCAAGTTCTGTAACTAATAATGAATTTATTGATGCAAGAAATAAAGTTAAACATAACCAAATAGATAACAGATAAACTTTGTAGGCATAAACTACATTGCTTACCCCCAATATTTTTATATCTAAACTGAAAATCATTTAAAAGTATAAATGTTAATTTTACTATTAGTAAAACACAAATTTAAAAAGAAAGTAATAGAAATGACTTGCCCATTGATCCATTTGCTATTGAAATGGCTATGTCAAGTACAAATAAGCTTCTTAATGGCAAAGAGCTTTAAAAATGAATGTTATTATTAGGTTCAAATTGTTCATTCTAGGCTGTGGAATTATATGGTTATTTTAATGATGAAACTGATAACATTAGCCAGTCTCACTTCATCAAGTCTACTTTTTTTTTCAAGTCTACTTTTTTTTTCTTCCTCAGGAAGTTGGCCTTGTACTTGCAGCTATATTGGCCCTCCTACTGGCTTTCTATGCTTTCTTTTATCTCAGACTGACTGCAGATGTTGACCCTGATCTGGAACCTGATGAAGAGTAGCTGAGCAGCAATCAATGCATTTTAAGGAAATAATTTTATAAAATCACCTCTTGAGACCAGTGCTTTCTGAAATACTGAAACGACAACATCTTGAATTCTTTTTGCTGGTATTTTCAGTTTGCAGATACATCTTTTTAAATAGTTGCATAATATATCAAGAAAAGAACCTTAACCTAGCAATGTAGTATAATGTATGCTACCGAATGCTTTTATAAATCTTTCTGCTTTGACAGGCAACCTATTCATGGTGCATTTAGATAAAATGGAAAACAGATCCCAAATTCTTCAGATGTGTCAGCCAATCTATGTTTGTAACTCCATCACTTACAGATTACTAAATCTGTTTTTTTTCTACGTATATATGAGAAGTAAAAGTGTATATCCTTATTTACAAAAACATACTTAAACCACAAAGCCGAAGAAGGAACAAGAAGTCATGGGAAATTTTTCAATTTACGAAGAAGTCCTGCTTTCTTTCCAGACATATTTTGTATCATTAGAAAGACTATCTGCACATACATCTACAGTAATTTTTTTCTGTCTTTGCCAACTGTTCAGTGCACATGTGCTCCATCAGAAATGGCACCTGGATGGCAGAAGCGCAAAGAGCCACATAATGTCTCTAAAATAGAGTTCCTTTCCTCTTAGGCTGTCTAAACTGATGTAAATAGAAAGTTCAGTTGATCTTGATTTTAATTAACTGATTACTCTATTAATATAAACTTGGAATTCTATTTTAATTATGTTGTTCTGACTTCTTGCAGTATCAGTTTGCTCTTCTTGTTAGGAATGTATGTAGCAATCTGTCATTTAATTGTGCGGTCTTCTTCCTATAACAATAATAGAAGTCCTACCTACTCAGTAATTTTTGTGAGTTATCTCTTAAAGCTGAACAATACAAAGTTGTTTTAAAAAATTACATTTTGTCTCTTGACAGATAATCATTTAGAACTCTTTCATGAAAAATAAATAGAAGAAAATATGTCTCATATTACTTGCATATGCAGTGTTCTGTTTATATAATTTTTTCAAGGTATTTTGCATTTGTTGCAATAGAATGACAAGTATATCCAATATTTTTACTGGTAATGGAATTTTTTGATATTTTTAGAACACATGAATACATAAGGCTTAGAAAATGTGAAAATATGTGTTCATTGCAGTTGTTAGCCACTACCTTATATAAAGTTTTATAGAAAATGAATAGTGTGAAACGTGCACAAAGTGTTTTATAGTACATACATTGTATTTATGAAGAGTAAGTAAAATGTTAAGATTGTTTCCATATTTGCCAAGAGAATAAAGTTTTCATAAATACCCTACATATTCTTTGAGACTTTTGCAAATACTTGATGTGACTGTAGCATTATGTTCTGCAGAATGTTTTCAAGTAGCATAATTATTCATCAGTGTGAAAACAGCCAAAATTTCCAATATCCTCACAAATCATTTATGCCAAATATCTGAGAGCACCATTCAGTGTTATTTACTGGATTCTTCCCCTTGAAATCACAAACTCAAGAGACAGACCAAGAGTTCTTAGACACTCACCACAGCAGACCAATCCAAGTGGCATTTTTAGGAAAGGTTACAGCATTTAATGCCATGTGGTATGTCTGTTTGTGAAGTGGGTGGCAAGGGAATATCCAAGCTGGCATTTTGGATATGATGGGCCTTTTACTTTCCCGAGTGACGTGCCACATGTCAAGAAATACTTTTTCCCTCACTCCTATCACATTTATGTGAACAATTTTCATTTCGTTATTTCCCCTCCCATATGGTGTTAAAAAACAGCCTTATTAAATAAAGTTATTGTTAATTTCAGTGGTAATTTAAATGAGAGGATATGTACTAATTGTTTATTAGATACCAATTCCAGTATGATATAACAGAATTTGCAGTATATAAAATAGATGATTATACTCTTGGAAATGTTTATATACTCATTAACCTGAAAAAAAAAAAAGCACTATCCTGTTGTACTCTTGAGGTATTCTTTTGGGGAAAAAATGTTGTTTCTTTTTAAAAATATAGTTAATATACAATGTTATATTAGCTTCAAAGCTGAAGAAGGAACGAGAAGTCATGGGAAATTTTACAACATAGTTATTTGATTAAAATGTTCTTTCTGATAGCAATAAATATTAGTTTAAGCATAGTATAATTATAGCCAAGTTTCATTGCATAGTTTTTGGATACCCTGAACCTATGGCTAGTCCGTTTGTATGACTGATTCATTTGTAATGACCCCAGACAATCTTAAGTCCCAAAGGCTAAACTCTGATTTTAATAAATAGCAGGTAAAGTGAGACAATATATGTTTATATAACACTGTTTTTGTGAAGTGCAAGTTTTTCGTACCCACATTAACTGGGAAGCAGCCTGTCCTCTGTAGAGAAATCCCAGATTGAAGTCTGGTTTCAATCTTTGAAGAGGTGATAGTCAGCCTGCAGTTTGAGAGGACCACACTTTTTGAATAGTAAGTGGTGTTTGGCATAAATCAGAGACTGGCACCAGACACAAATTTTAAGCATGTTTTTTTCTCCTTCCAATAATTGACTGCTCAGAGTAATTCAGAAGACAAAGACAAAAAAATTATAATGACTTTTCAGAATGTTAGAGTCTGCTAACATATTCTGCCGAATAAATTGCAACTAACGCAGCAGACCTAACATATATAGCCTATGTGAATGAAGCTGGAAGGGCTGCTGGTTCCTACTTTGCATATAAAATCAAGAATATAAAATGCACTTGAGAGGAAATGTTGTAAAAAATATAACCTCATCTAGAATTTCTTTTAAAGCGAATGAACAAAAAAACCTATCTTAGTACCAGCATAGGTTTTGTTATTGTTTTAAGGTGGCAAAATACTTGAAGATTTTCTATCATCAATATTTCATAAAGATGGAAGGAATACTCCCATCCCAACCAATGATGCAATATTCTGATAATATGTTCTTGTTCAGTTTTGTAATTCCAATAATAAAGTGATCTGCCCATACTTAATAAATGCATGTTAAAATTTCAGCTAATATCTTTAGTCCTCTTAGAGTCTGACACAGTTTTTTGCATGTAGTGGATGATCAAAATTATTTGCAGTTAATAAATGAAACTTAAAATCACAATATTAATGATCTCAACAATTAGCATTTATGGTCATAGGTTGTATTGGGACATAAATGTGTTTCATCCTGGTTGTCTTGAGATCAAGACAACTAGCGTTACGTTTACTATGGAACAGAGGAATTGCTCTTTTCTAGGAAATCAAATATGTTATCTTTTTCTTAGCATGTTAAAGATCACACTCAGTGTGTTTAATATAACTTAGTATACCCTTCATTCCCGGTGAAAATAAAACTAAATTTTCATTATAATGTTTCTATTTATGTGAACACTAAAGCATTATATTTTCCATGACGCTAAAATTTGTAGTAATTGATAATTCAGTAGTGCAAATTTTGCTTTAGATTAACTTCAGAAGTAAACTTTTATAAATTAAACTTAAATTTTAAATTTTAATTTATTTTATTCATAACATAAGGTTGTCAAGCCAGAGACTATCGAAAAAAATTTTTTTGTTCCTTACCAACAATTAGGTTTCTTTATACTTACCTGAGGCTTCTCTGGGGAGATTTCTACCACTTCTCTCCTGGCAGCATTGCCGCCTTTTATTAGAATGGCTCCAGGGCACACTAGATGGAATGATGTTTGCTAGATCTTGTTTCATTGACATCATATCTAGAATTGGTGCAACCCACAGTAAAAAACTAGCAGACGAACTCATTAAGTAAGATGAATTCAAAACAGTAAGAAACGTTCTTACTGTTTTGTACAAGGTTTAGCTATACAGGTAAGTATAGAGGTATCTGGGAGAGTCACTTAAAGAAATAGAGCAGTGTGGAAATATCCATAGTGAGTCAGTAAATTCACTTAAAACATGGAAATGCTGCTGTATTCTGCATTGTGCCTCCTTGTTAATTTTTTTTTATCGCCAGCAACAGACTTGAGATCCTTATTTTAAGAAAAATAAGATAATTTAAATGCCAGAAGATTTTTTTTTTGATGACAGCACCTCCCCCTATTCTTCATTTTTTAAAACAACAACCAATTTGGTGGGGAGGCAGCCAAAATTGGAGGTACCAGTGCCTCTCGAGCAGATGTCACACCATTATTTTTTAGCTCGTTTGGATGAATAAACATGTTAAACTGTGAAGTTTTACATTTTAGATTTTTTCATTAAAAAAAGGAGACAATCTGTTTACTGTCCTAATTGAGACAACAATCCTGTGGTTGCCAGTTTTGGCAGTCATAACAATGAACTATAAATATTTGGACCAACCAAGTAAATGGTGACTATAAAGGCTATAGCATGTGTAAAGTTCTGTTTTTAAGGACACTCATCTTAGTATGGCATTTTTCCCCCAACTTCTTTAAATACAATTGTTTGTGTAAATCTGAAGTTTCATGGTAAGCCTAAAAGAAATTGATTTCAATATCCAATTTCATTCTAGTTTATCATTCTTTTTAGTGTTCAACTACCCATCTGATTGTGACAGATTGCTTCTGCAGTTGCTCTGTTGAATGTGGCAAGGCAGGTCTACACTGGGCTGCCTCACCTGCGCGTCCTCGGACGACGCAAAAGTCAGAGGTCTCTTTTTCCGTTTTCATATTTATCAAGTGAGATTAAAGACATTGAAAGTCTCTTAAATTCTTGTGATTCATTTTTAAAGGAAGGCTTTACAGATAAACAATGGTGAGATATAACTGCTGCAGTAATCACCATGAGGAGATCATTATCTTACATCTCTTTGGGCTCCCTGGTGGGAGAAGTAGGTAGATCAAAGAGATACAGTCCAGACATAAAAAAATCATTTATTACTCTCGTTTCCAAACATTTGTGATCCAGATAGGAGGTGCCCTTCTAGGCATCTTATTTGAGTGCTTTTGCTCCCTTCTACTCCTCACCTCCTATCTGCCTCAATCCTAAATTCTAGGCAGTTTAGGGTGTATGAAACTCACTACTACTTTGTCATATTTAATTATGTGCTTACTATATTAATTGCCTCTAGTCTTTTACTTAGAATCATCATTAATCCTTACCTATGTTTTTCTCTATCTGACTTTTTGACTCATTACTAACCACATGCATGCATCACACAAAACTAGAGAGACAGTATAATGAACCTCAAGTCTAAATATCACCCAGTTTCAATAATTATCAATATTTCGCCACTCATATATTTCCCCCATTTTTTGTAATCTGAGGTATTTTAAAGCAAACCTCAGATATGGTGACATTTTATCTATAAATACCACAGTATAAATCCCTGACAAGAACTTTGGTGTTTGGTTGTTATTTGTTGGAGTTTTTTCCCCCCTTGGATTAACTAAGATGTATTATAGCTTATAGAATTAAATAGTTATTCTTTAACATCATGTATTACCAAGGCCATATTCAGATGTCCTTAGTTGTCTCTAAGATGTCTATTTATAATAGGTTTTGAATCAAGATCTGTACTGCATTAGGTACTGTATCTCTTTTATTCTATAACCTCTTTTTTCTTTCATGCTATTGATTTTTTGAAGAAGCTAAATTATATATCCTTTTGAATGTTCAACATTCTAGATTCTGTCTTTTTCATTATGTTGTTCATTTTAGTCCTCTACTTTCTCTATTTTCTGTAAACTGTCTTAGGTTAGATTAGACCCAGACAATTTTGTTGTTTTTTAAGGGAAATATAGTTGATGATACTTTATAAGACACAATAATCTGGTTGCCTTGCTTGTGACGAAGCCAAAATCTGTTAGTGGGTTTATGTAATAACCTGATTCCCTCCAAAGTCAAGTTTATGTCAACATTTTAACTAAGACTTTTAGCATCCTTTTATAAATATTACACCTTACAATAGAAGACACCACCGTTTTAAGGTACACGAGTCATGTAAGAAAACTAAATATATGTCAGGTCAAATAGAAAACATCAGCAAGTTCCATAAAATAGAAATATT